ACTGGATCTAAAGCTGAGTTATTACAGTGAAGCGCGCTGTCAGACTTTAAGGGCCCAGATCAGAAACTGTACACGTGTCTGTAGATTTGTATCTGCTGACGGTCGGAGGGGAAAAAGGAACATGTAGAGTTGGGAGATTACATCTTGCGCCACGTCAACTCTGTGTGTGTGACCATTTTAATAAATCAGCCAGACTAATACCATTCAACAGGCTAAAACGCTAAATAAAATGTAAATAAACATTTGTGCATAGGCATTGACTCAAAAATGACCACAAGTCTCATCAATATATTCAACCCAACTGACCACGCTGTAAAAATTAATTAAATAAATAAATAAGTAGTTGATATTAGATGAGTTGTTTTCACCTCAAGGACCCACAGAAACCGCAAGTTTCAAAACACACTGTCCACTCCCCAGTCCGTTCAGTCCATAAACTGCAAAAGGCCTCTTTTTTTATTAATTGCTTTTGTGATGTTATGAAAACCTACACTTTTACATATATTCAGCCTAAAGCAGCTTGGCCCCGCCCACTCACACTGAAGTTATAAGGAGTGTTTCAGCCTGGACTGATATTTAAATGACACAACGTTACAATACAGAACAGCCATTCGAATGGCTTTGAATTCACAATATCCCAAATTCTAAGAGATAAAGAAAGGCTAGAACCACATAAATGTGAATTATGTTTATGATACATAAAAGGACGCTGGGAAACTGCATAACTTATAACACATTAGCTTCGTAGCAGTTACTGAATTATTGTGTAGTTACTAAATTAAATATAAATATAAGCTATATTAGTTACTAAGTAATGCTAGTGTCCGAATAAAATGGGTTAAGACAAAAAGCCAGATATAAACGGGTTAACTAATAGAAAGCTAACATAATAATAATAATAATAATAATAATAATAATAATAATGGCCTATTGCATTGTATTATGTTAGTTTTTTATTTGCAGTTCAGTCAGTTGGCTAGGTTACCTTCCTCCAAGTTAAAACGCTGAATAATGATCTCATGTCGTCTGGCTGGACGGTGCAGGGTTATATCTGGCTATAGCATCCATCTTTGCGCCATGTTGGCTCTGACTGGCTGGACGGAGGAAGGGTCAAAATGGAGAGTTATGTTAAATTAATGAGGGAGTGTAGAGGATTGGTGCTGGGTGACTACAGTATGACCCTATTCTCGTCCTCTCTATAGCAGCGCAGCGGTTACATCATCACTATTACAGTCGCCGTGTGTGCGTGCGCGTGTGTGCGCGCGCACTGGCCTACTGAACTGTCTCCACTACTCTCTGCATTCTCTCCGCATCCACAGAGGCACGCGAGGTGCGCATCACTGCGCCTGCGCGCACTTACACACACACACTTACACGCACGCACACACACATACACACACACACACACACAGAGAGAGAGAGAGAGAGAGAGAGAAAGATGCACACGCACAAAACTCGCAATTATCTTTTCGTCCTTCATAGTGCACGAGCCTTTTAGGCCGGTTTATTTTTTGCATCTACGCGCTAAAAATGGTGCGTTTATTAACGACACGCTTTTTGTGCTGACACTATATTCTACAGTTTTCTTCTATTTATGTTTTCTCCTAAAGATTTTTACCAAAACACTCTTAATTCCTTTTTACGTGACCATTTTCCAACCTCTGTTTTAGTCCCTAAGAAGAAGCCCGTCAGTGCAACACTCCTTATAACTTCAGTGTGAGCGGACGGGGCTAAACTGAATAGGCAGCTGTATGAAAGTGTGCTGGTTTTCGTGACGCCGTAAAAAGACTTAATTCAGAACTAACTGTTTGTGCAGCTGAGCTGGCGTTTGCAGATTATTTATTTATTTATTTATTTACTTATTTATTTGCTTGCTTTAATTTAATTTAAAGTGTGGAAAATTAGGGTTATCTGGAAACGGACAGATCTGTGTCCAGGCCAATCTCTGACAGGAGGCTGTGTGATTATATTTAGTGCTAAGAATCTGCCTGGGTTGAGTAAGACGGCGTTCTGGGTGTGTTCAACCGCGCTGTTTTCTTAACATTGATCTGTTTAAAAATGGCACAGCTACACAATGAACGTTCCCTAAATGGCTATTGTCTTGGATACACGCCTCTGTGAACAACCTGTTTTGGTATAGAACTTTTACGTGGAGGTTCTCTAAATTTTAAAAAGGTTCTTCACACAAGAACACGTCTTTAGGAACTGAAGGTGGTTTCGCTCCAAAGAGCCCTTTTGGGCGTCTTTTATTTTTAAGGACGCAGATGTTGTTTTTTTTTGCACATCTGTTTTGAGTGCGCGCGTTTTGTATGGATATTTTCTATATTTCTATGTCTATGGCTTTTAGAAGAATGCGTTTGTGGGTCGAGTAGTGTGTCTGCATTTTCCACCACGAGTCCCAAAGAAGTCGTTCACCCACAGACACCTGGAGACATGGCACGATGGTTATCCCTCCGCCCAGCAGAGCAGCTGTTGGCTCTTTCCATCTACACAAAAGCAAAGATGCCAAAAAGGGCTCTTTGGAGCGATGCCGTAACCACTTTTGGTTCCTTGAAGAACCTCTCAGTGCGAAGTGCAGTGAGACATGCGCGTGTGAGGAACACTTTTAGAGTTTGAGGAACCCCCACATAATGAAGAGATTCTATAGAAATCAAATCTTTCGTAGAAGCCGAGATCAATGGCGGAAGGTTTCATTTTGCAGAGTTTCCATTGCAATTAACGATAGTGGAGTCTGAGTTGAGACCTTGAGGAAGCTCAGTTGGATCTCTATCAGCAGTTTGTTGGGGGTGTAAGAGGGGGGTCTCTCACCCCATCCTGTCTCAGGGCTATGGGGATGGATGTGGGAAAGGCCACAGCAGTGTGCAGGACACGACGAGATGGTGACCGAGCTGATCTCTTTATCTGGCGGGCTATAGGGTCAGCATAGATCTTCTCGGAAAGCGAAAGTGCTTTAGCTCAGGTCAGCTCAGTGTTGATAAAAGCATTTTCTGTGCCTTATTCTGTTGGAAAAAAGTAATGCATGGATTTACTTGATTCAAAGCTAAACTTTAGCACATTTGTTTCTCCCAGTTACCTTCCCTTTACAGCAATGATTGTTTTGAAGTGATGCGTTTTAGTTACATGCAAAATAAGTACATATTCCATTCATGCAAATTCAACGTGTCGCTTTTTTCAGTGTAATCGTCGCTGATCTTACTGGGCTGGTTTTGCTAGTTTAGGCCTTTTGCTGAAAAGCTTTTGCTGTCTTTTTTTTAACGTAGTGAAATAGCAGTTGTAGTTTTAGAAAAGCCAGCAGAACTTTAACACGAGGTTTGTAGAGTCAATACGAATCAATTACGAAGTATATTAAGGTAATAAGGTGTAGCTTATCGCCTGGTTTTAGCTAACAGTCTGATGAGGTGGTAGAATTTGTAATTATGTTACGTTTTCTGTTAGATCTCGACGTCATTTGTATTACCAGCATGTTGTAATAATTGCTTTGTAGTTGTGCGCCCATTATGACGTCTACAACGTTCGATCATTTGTAAACATTTGTTTATCTTAAGTTTTCAGCCCTTTACGTGTCAACAGCGTGCATCGCGTAAGCGTCCTTTCGGAAAAAAAGATTTTAAAAAAACTTGGTCATCCTGATGGGTTTAAGACCCCGGATGTCTCTTCTAGGCCTTTGACAAAATGACTAATACAGAACTATAAAGCCATCCTGTTAAGTTCTAACGTACTTAAGCTTCGTTCTGTTCTATCACACGCACGAGGCTCAGAAAGGCCCGAAAAGCACAAATACACACTCGGACTCGTATAATGTCCTTGGAAAAACAAGCCAGATGTCGTGAAATACTACTTGACCTCCTTCAGTCAGAAAAAAAAGAAACTGATACTGCCACGGCAAAGTAGGCCTACATCATAGAGCATTATCTCACAACAGCATTAGAGTTCAACTGATGGTCCAGCAGAGCTTCTCCTCCTCACATACACACATACTAACACTCTCATACACATCCACGCACTCTCTCTCTCTTCCCTCAAGCGATGCGTGACGCTGTGTGCCCTCACCAAATGCTACTGAAGCAAAAAGCGCAAACATCCACAGGCACAAACAGTAAAGCATTATCCAGCCTATTTATGAGTGCATGACAAACCACACTATTATTATTATTATTATTAATATTATTATTATTATTATTATTATTATTATTATTATTATCATTATTATTATTAACAGACACGGTGCGTGCATAGGCTTATGTAAAGAAAGCATACACACACGGCTCAGTCTGTTGTTGTTGTTGTTGCGGTTCTTTAAGAATTCTTTAGTGAAAGCGACGGTTACATATAGAGCCGTGGCAACTCAAATAACCACCCGAATGGTTTAAATAGTTCTTCTCTGTAATGGAAAACCTGAAAAGAATATTTTAACGGTCCTGTGATGCACCAAAAGGGTTCTGCTGTTGTTACAGGCCCTAGAACATTTTTGGTACTCTATAGAACTCTTACGTAGTATGATTTGAGAAAGATTAGGATGGTTATTTATTTATTGCTAAAAGTAAACCAGTGCTCTGTTTGCTATGTAGCTAGTAGAGAACTACAATTGTAAAACTGCAAGAATTGACGTTTTGCAATTGAATCCAAGCAATTTAGCGCCGCTATTAATGAGTCGATTTCCACGCCACTTCTTTTTTTCTGTAAAACAATATTTATTCTTATTGTAAAACAAACCGTGTAAAAATATCACACTCCGAGTATACAACGTACCAAATAATGTACATTTTTATTACTGATATAAGCACACATTGCATCAAAATTCTCGATGAAATGTTCTTTGTGAATTATCATTACAAAGCACAAATTAAAACAGAGAGAAAGAGAGAGGAGGGGGGAGACTTTAACTTCACCAAGAGCAAAAAACAGCCGAGCCTCCTGCACACAAATCAGAGACTTCTTAAGAGAATTTGGACAGTTTTATCTTCTATTTTGTTCGAGAAACAGAGAGAGAGAGAGAGAGAGAGAGAGAGAGAGAGAGAGAGAACCCTCGCAGTTATCCTGAGATGCCCTGCACTTTATTAGAATCAAACTGGGGATGAAAAGTAGCTCGAACTAAAATGTTAAAAACATAAATATATATCTTATATTTTCACAGCTTGAATATAGGCACGAGGCTTGTTAATGTCCATGATTCAGCTGCGTTTAACAAAACAAAACAATAAAAAAAACAATAAAGAAAAGAAAACAATCAAAAACGATACAAAAATAATCCTACCTTAAACACAGGGAGCGTTTGTGTGTGTCTCTGTCTCTGTTTGTCTCGTCTTTTTTGTTTTTTTTTAAAAAAGAGTTTGCAATTTTAACAGCCGCTCGTGCCGCTGATCATCCGGCCCGCGAAGGCGTCCAGCACGGCCGCAGCACGGCTCGCGCCTCCGGGAGAATGCTGCGGAATAAGCGGCACGGGCGGTGCCGTGACCCCGGGGGAAGTCCGTTGTTGTTGCGGCTGCAAGCTGCTCCCTATCAGGCTCTCGATGGAGAACGGGGAAGACTTGGGGGCGGTGTGCACCGGCGGAGGGGGCGACGAGAGACCCGGGCTCAAAGGCGGGTAGAAGCGGGAGCGCGCGAGCTCGGCCGTGGCGGGCATGAGGGAAGGCGCGGGGATGAGGGTGCCTCCGTGGCGGGTGGGCGCGGGATGCGGCGGGGGAGGAGGCGGCGGCGGCTGTTGTTGCTGTTGTTGCTGCTGCTGCTGTTGGAAGGCGAAGAGCGCGGAGTGCGCGTGGTAGGGCGGCAGTGCGAGGCCGTAGCCGCCGCAAGCGCCGTAAGGTCCGTAGGCATAGGGCCCGTGCGCGTGGCCCGGGAGGAAGGCGGCGGCAGCGGCGGCAGCTGCGGCGGCGGCGGCGGCGGCGTGCTCGCGCAGCAGCTCGGGCGGGTGCTGCCGTTTGAAGCGCTTGCGTCGCCGCAGGAAGCTGCCGTTGTCGAACATGTCGGCCGATTCAGGGTCCAGCGTCCAGTAGTTGCCCTTGCCCGGGTTGCCCGGCTCGCGCGGGATCTTCACGAAGCAGTCGTTAAGCGACAGGTTGTGGCGGATGGAGTTCTGCCACGCGGGGAACTTCTCGCGGTAGTACGGGAAGCGGCCGCTGATGAAGTCGCAGATCTCGCTGAGCGTGAGCCTCTTCTTGGGGCTCTGCAGGATGGCCATGGTGATGAGCGCGATGTATGAGTAGGGCGGCTTGACCAGCGCGCTCTTGCCCGCCGGCCGGCACGCCGACGAGGCCGACGCCACGGACGCCACCGAGATGTCCGCGCACGGCGGCGAGCCGGTGAGCAGCGCGTGCTCGTCGTCGTCGTCCCCGCCGCTGCCGGCGCGCATGCGCGCCACCTCGCTGGCGTAGGCGCGCGCGCGCCCCTCGCATTCGTCGCCCTCGCCCACCACGTCGATGTCCGTGTCCTCCGAGAGCGCGGACGCCTCCGACATGCCGGAGCTCAGAGTCATGGCCCCGGGACTGCGGGGCTGCGGGCGGGCGCGCGCTCCCGGCCCGCGACGATCACGGCTCACCTGCGGGGGGAGGAGCGCTCATACGACGAGGATGATGAAGAGAAGGAGGAGGAGGAAGAGGAGGAGGAGGAGGAGGAAGAGGAAGAGGCGACGGGGCGCTCCCACGGGTCACCGCAGCCATAGACTTCAAATGGAGCGCCGAACGGCAGAACGGACGGCGCCGCGTCCACGCGCCGATCTCAGAGCACAGAGAGCCTCCGACAGGTCCGAGCGGGAGTCCAAAGAGGGCGGACCTCACCGGGGGCTTTATACGAGGCCGCTCGTCACGTGACGCCCAAGCGTCACCATCGCGCTGAAGAGGGGGAGAAAAATAACACCGGGGAGAAAAACCGCTCTGTAGGAAATAACTAAGAACCGGCGATTGACTGAAGTGACTCTGTCCATATGGTGGTCATTCATTCGGCCGCGGAAAACGGTCCACGTCCATTTGAGTCGATTAGAAAGCACTGCTCGCTGCCTGACCCTCCTGAGTGGAAGAGTGAAGAAGCCCGAGCACATGGTGACCGGTAGGACCCTCCCTCCCGCGCTCTCACTCTGTTTACACCACAACGCAGCCTACAGCCTCTATAGCGCGACTCAGGAGCCGCGTTAGATCTGCGATAAAGCGGGCGTTAGAGAGGGTGATGGTCTTTTTGGACCGGAGCGCCTCACTGAAGGGGTCGCGCTTTTACACGCGAGCTATGCGTGACACGGAGGAGGAGATCGAGCTGCTCCGCGAGCCAAGCGGGCCGGAAACAGCTCAACTGTTCAGTAGCATCAGTCACGCGGAGGAGCGCGCGCGAGAAAGAGAGGACCAGGATAACAAGCCTATTTATCTTCAGCAGTATTTATAGGACATAACTGTGCACCATCAGGTTATATTCATAGTTATATATCAAAATAGATGAATATGTAATGTATAATACATTTATAATGTATATATTAATGATATAAATATTGTTTATGTAATTAAATGTAGACTTATGTTGAAGGTAATGAAACAAATTTTATTATAAATATAAATCTTTTAAAAAAAAACTTCTAACGTTATATGAACTTTTAATACACACACACACACACACAGACAGACACACACACACACAGACAGACACACACACACACACAAACACACACACACACAGACAGACACACACATATATATATATATATATATATATATATATATATATATATATATATGTATGTGTGTGTGTGTAATTATTTATTAATTAAATTGTAAAAATATTGAATGAGATTATCATCTTACTATTATTATTATTATTATTATTATTATTATGCAATAGTTACTTGCAAATATATAATATATAAATATATATTATATTATAACATCCAAGACACTGAATGTGACAAAGTCAAAACTTTTTTTACTAATTTTTTACTAATAATTTAATAATTACTTTCTTTAATATTTAAATCAGAATGTTCGTAGTGGTTTTTGTTCGTTTATAAAAAAAACACTTTTGCTACCATCATCCTTGAAAACGGGTATAAAGATCCTCCTTATTTAATAGCTCGAAAAACCCGGATAAGATTATTATCCTAATAGACTAGTTTAATGTATAGACTGTTAGCATCTGGACTCGCAACTGCGGCACGATCTATATTCTTTCTTTCTTTCTTTCTTTCTTTCTTTTGTCCTGGCTATATTTACAATATGTATATATACACACACATATATATATATATATATATATATATATGTATGTGTGTGTGTGTGTGTGTGTGTGTGTGTGTGTGTGTGTGGAGAGAGAGAGAGAGACTACAGTACACTATACATGCTACATATATTTACATATATTCATAAATTGACTGACATAAATTGAATCAACATAATGTTTATTCAGGCCTTAAATATAGAGGGCTCTCTCTCTGTCTTTCTCTCTCTGTCTCTCTTTCTCTCTCTGTCTCTCTCTCTCTCTCTCTCTCTCTAATATATATTCCCGTTTGTCGGAGAGCGCAGAATTAAACTGTGTTTGCGCGTTTATTTGAGCTGTTAAAGCTCCTCACCGTCACACTCAGATCATGTGCGGCTCCTGCTGCTGGTGTAAGAAGCGCTCAGGAGGCAGTGAAGAGATGAAGAGCCGCTCCAGTAAAGCAGGTTATTAAGGACAGTTTGCGGCCGAAGTGATGAGCGGACAGTGAGCCGGCAGACACACAGCGCAGCTCCGCACAGCCGAACTGAGGGCGGACGGAGGGCAGAGACGGAGAGAGCCGCTCAGAGATGAGTATAATTAGGCCTTTTTACTGCGGCGCTGTGTTAGTTCTGGAGGGAGCAGCAGGGATGAGAGGGCATTTCTGCAGGATGGAAAAAACATCTGGACGGTTTTATGGCACCTCGTGCGGTCAGACTTGTGTGTTTAGGCTCGGCTCGTTTTATTCCGTGTTTGTTTCTCTGCTGCGTCTCTGAGGCTCACATCGCCATCTAGCGGCCGGACTCCTGCACCTGCACCCTCACTGCGCTCCTCTTCATCACCAGAGAGAGAGAGCGCTGAGCTCAGCTCATTCACTTAGCTATGTTTGTTTATTTGTTTTATTATGTATGTGTTTATTATGTTTTAACATTTAACGTTTGTTTTTTTGCATATTTCATATTTCTTTATTTTTTCATTAGTCTTTAATGTATTTTAGCCATAATAATAATAATAGTAATTAACTTTAATTTGCTTGCTAATATATTATTTTCTTTGTTTATATATTTAACATTTCCTTACGTTTATATTTATATGTTCTTATTTATTTCTTATTTATTTGCTTATTTTGTTGTTTATTTATTCATATTTACTTGTATATTTATCTATTTCCGTTTTTCTTTAATGCTTATTTATTTATTTGTCTATTTTTAATTTGCTTATTATATTACTGCTTATTTATATATTTGTTTTTCTGCCTCCTTATTTGTTCATAGCCTATTTTTTCTATTTATTTGCTTATTTGTCTGCTTATTTATGTGCTTCTCTTTTTGCTTGTTCATTTGCTTATTTAATTGGAATATTTTATTTTTATTTATTTATTGAATATATCTTCCCTTTTATACTTTAGTAAGGCTGTGTGTGAGTTTATGTACGAAATGAAGGATACACACACACACACACACACACACACACACACACACGCACACACACACACACACACACACACACACCGTAAAAACGGGTTAAACTTTAGGTTAGAACGATTTAGATCGTTGATCAGTTCATTTGCGTTCAACGTTTTAACTCAACTCAACATTTTAAGCTCAGCAGTTTCGCTGCTTCCTATTTCAGTTAAAATCAGGCGGTTCTGTTTGATCTGCTCCTCAGCTCACAGCACTGTCTAATTACAGTGTTGCTCCACTATTGATTCACATACTTTGAGCTTTTCATGCACTCAAAAAAACTTGTATGAACTTAAATCAGTTATACAACACATTTCCATTTGATCAGATAGAGCAGAGTCAGCATACAACGACTTTATTACCTCAACATAATATTCAACTGTTGATGAGACAAAATTTAAACATTTCATTCACTTTATTTCAGTTACACTGGAGTGGAATTCTCTTTGGCTCAACATGAACAATATTCATTTACTGAAATGAACTTTCATTCGTTTTTATGTAAAAAAAAGAAGACTTAATTAATACATTACATGATGACATATTTTCAGTGTGTAAGTCCAGCAACACTGCTGGCTTTTTAATTAAAGAAACTTAATCATGAATGGCAAATCTTTTGAATATCCACAGAAAAAAAATGATCCAATTACAGAAAAATAAGTGAACATTTTTAATCAGAAGGTTTCACAGCTGTGGTGTGTACTTAAAACTAAGACGAAAAGAAAGAAAACAGCTGTTTTTCTGTGCGCCACAAAACGGATCTACGTACGCGCGTTAGAATAAATAACAGTCTAAGAAAATAACTTCAGCAATTAAATGATCTTCGAAATGATCTCCTAAATAACCTCTTTAATCTTCAAATCCATTAGATCATTGAAAGGGAAGCAGACGGCGCTGTGTGTCAGGTTCCCTCTGAATCGGTCTGTGGAGGAAGTGTTAGAAGTTTGGAGAAAGCGAGACTTTCAGCTGAAGTTAATGATTAAACCGAGCCAAACCAGCTCGAGGAGCTCATTACACTTCATCTGCTTTTTGCTTTGTTTTGTAGCATTTAAGTTTTGTGTTTCGTTCTCAGTGACTGGTGAGCTCGCTGTGGCCTCGCTGCTGTGTGTGAGGAGTGTGCGAGGAGTGTGTGTGTCCGGCAGAGCTGAGTAACTCAGACCCATGAAAGGAGAGAGCTGAATATTCCTGGCGGGCAGTGTGTGATAGTGTAGTCTGGTATCTGTGTCTGAATGATTCTCTATGCGTGTAGAAACCATTGCTTTGTAAAATACGTAGTGTATAAGGAGAGCTTGAGAATTTCAGAGCTGCAGCTTGAAGGAGAAGTCCACCAACATTTTTTTAAAATCTGCATAGTTCAGCCTTTGAGATGTAAACAAAGTCGTTCAGAGTGGTTTGATGCGAAATGCTTCGTTCTACATAGACTTACTAAGTCAGAATTGTGGTGGTGGTAGGAACCGAATATAGCCATTTTATTTACCATCCAAGACAATCAGTGAATCTGCACTCTTAAAAAGTTGGTTCTTCAACGGTTCTTAAGTGAGATAAAAACGTTGTTATCTTGAGATCACAAGATAATCAATTCGTTATCTCAAGATAACAATGCAGAAAATTATAGCAACAGCTCCTGGCCTCTCCAGACTTCCGTACCTGTGTGTGTAGATTCTGTTCTTACCTAAGAACATATCCCAAATAAGAACACATTGGTGAATGTTAACTGCATAAGTAGGTTTTAAGTAGAAATTTCCACTTAAGAATGGTTGGTGAATGAGGCTCAGTGCTTCTATATAGAACCATGAACACTCAAAGAAGCTTTTGCATGCTTACATGGTTTTTTGCATGGTGA